TTATTTATCTAATATTTTCATTTAACTAATATTCACATATCTAAGTTTTATTCGCAAGTTCAAATAAAATGTCAAAATAAACAAATATATATTTGATTGGCCCATATGTTATTTATCTAATATTTATCATTTAACTAATATTCACATATCTAAGGTTTATTCGCAAGTTCAAATGAAAATTTCAAAATAAAAAAAATTTATATTTGATTAAGTTATCATTTGATTAAATTATAATTTCATTAGTCCAATGGTACGTTTAATATATATATTTTGATTTAATCTACCATTTATTCGGAAGTATCAAATGAAAAAATCTAGAGAAAATATAATTGATTAAGTTATAATTTGATTGGCCCAATGATACGTTTAATATATATTTTGATTTAACCAATATTCGTATCTACCTTTTATTCGCAATTATCAAATGAAAAAAATCAAGAGAAAATATATTTGATTAAAGTTATAATTTGATTGGTCCAATGGTATACTTGGTATTGGATTATTTTAAGTATGACATTTGTAGAAAAATAAAGTTAACAATATGACACATTATAAATTTCATACTTAAAATAATCCAATATAAAAATAAATCATTTCTATTATCATTAGATAATTAATTCAATGAAATATCTGAGATAAGTAATTCCTATCTAAAAACGAGATTCAAGAATTTCATCTCAAATTTTCTATTAAAAATAAAAAAGAAGAAAAAAAAAGAAAATATTTATAATCCATGGTTGATCTGAGATTCAAAGCGTAGCATGGTGTATTGAACAAGTATTTCATCTATCTCATCTAAATTGCATCTTACTTTAATAATCTATTGAATAATAATCTTCGACAACATTCCTCACGACCGAAAAATCGAAAAAAAAAAAAAAAAAAATAAAAAAAGGAATATGAATGTGAAAAACAATATTGTATATTGTATATTTGATTTTAAACACGTAATATATTATTAATATACCGGAAAATGGAAATCTGGGGGGTTTGGGGAAAACTTTGTTAGAACTTTCAGCCCACTGCCTCTTCCGCGGGATTGATGCCCCTAGTTCCAGGACCCGGTGCGGAATTTGCCAATTTCGGTGATCGGGATCTTTTACTCGGTTTAACGTCTGACGAAGCTTGGTTAAATCTAACCGATCAAGATCTACAGGTAAATAACAATTATCTTATCTTTAATCTTAAATTCTTTCTCAACTACCCCTCAACCCCCTCCCACCCCCGCCCCCAGATTTAAAGTCAGAAGTATACTATTGTTAATACTAATATTATACTTCAATTAAATGTATGCAATTCCCCTCCCCCTCCCCCCTAGATTTAAGGTTAGAGGTATACTATTGTTAATACTAATATTATACTTCAATTAAATGTATGCAATACTATCGTTAATTTTAATTGATAATAAAAATATAAGAGATACTAATATTTAATAATAATTAGTAATTATCTATTTTTTTTTTTTTATTTATCTTAGAAAATAATTTGTATCTTGAAATATATCTAAATTTTTTAACCAACAACCTTATATACATATATACATATATATACGTGTAAATGAATATAATAATTGAATACAAATTTGATTATTATTTAACAAATATTCTATAACATTTTATTTTCATTCAATTATACGATTAATTAAATATATCGATAATATATAATACACCATAGGATATATTATAGCAATATCGAAAAATTCATTGGTTAAATTGTATGAATGAATTAATGAAAAATCGAATTATTGAATACGATAATTTTTCGTTGTCGTAGATTTTAAAGGAAAAAAGAAAAAACAAAAAAGAAATATCTCCCTAAACCTTGTTTTACAAAATCTATTGTAATATATGTTTTCACGTTTATCGATTATTAATTATAATTTGTTATGATTAATTATCGATGAAATTAATTTGGATCAGTAATATGTATGACAAAAACACAACTATGAAAAAAATATCGATTTTTTTTTGTTACCTTTAACGTTTCAAATGAAAAATATTCTGCACTAATTCTGCACCCCCCCTCTACATTGACTAAACCACCCAACTCGCCCATCAAACTACGTTTAATCGTACGCGAATTCGAATTCGGAAAAATGAAATCTCATAACCAGTTGACATATGACACTTTCGGGTTGACTTTTCATATATATCAAAGAGCAAAAGGGGTTGGGTTGGTTAAAAGAGAAAATAACTTTTTTATAATCGTGAAACATATGGTAATCGTATTAAATTTTTATATCGGAGGAAAAAAATATTATATTCGAATCAAAGCAAATTGATTGAACAATTTTGAATGTGAATAAGAGAAATGAAAATGAGGTGGTTAGGGAAAGTTCTGGTTTGGATGGTTATATGGGGAAAAATACGTGTTTGTATATAGGGAAATAAAATAGGGATGTTTATCGTGAATTCTAATGAGCTTCAATGGGATTAAATTGATCTAGAGAAAGATAGGAAAAAGATTTTGTAAAACAATCATAAAATGTTTATTTGTTTTTTCGATTTTTTCTTTCAAGATTTTTAGCGTACCTCGTGAGGATTTTAAAAACAAAAAAAATCGTTTTTTTTAGTAATAAAATATATAATATATAACAATAC